TCAGGCCCTGCCCGCCATTCTGGCCACGCCGGGGCCTGCGCCACCCTCGCAGCCCTCCGCTGTCCTCTCGGCCCTGCCCGCAGCCATCGCGGTGACGCCACCCACCCCCGCCTCCATGGCCAACACGGTGGCGTCGCCCACGCAGCCGGCCCCCAGCAGCACCGCCTCCTGTGTCGCAAGCTGCCCCGACGTCAAGGTCAAGCATGAGGTGGACAGCGTGAACACCTCGCAGCCAGGTGAGGAGGCGACGCTCGCCCGCCTTTTACACGGAGTTGATGCCAGCGCCTCTTAAAATAAGATATAAAACCAAAAAAGAACTTCAGCTTTACAACGGCACCTCAGAGGAGCTTGTTTTAGTCTCATTGTACTCCATCAGACAATTATTATTGTTTCTATTTGTTTGCTTTTTCCCCCTCACAGACTCCGCCAACCCTGCCCTGAATGCCCAGTCTTCCACCCTCAACGTGGCCCCCACGGGAGACCTCATCCCCGGGGCATCCCCGAGGAAGAAGCCTCGCAAGCAGCAGCACGTCATCTCCACCGAGGAGAGCGAGATGATGGAGACAAACAGCACCGATGAGGAGAAGGCGCCCGGGAGGCCCGTCACCGGCAGGGCCGAGCGCAGAGAGTCTCCCCCCAGGGAATATGTCGGTACGGAGATGGCGCTCTGCTCATGCTTCGCTCCCCGCCAACTCGAACAAAGACTTTCTGTGAAGTATTTCAATCCATTTTATTGTTCTTTCCTGTTCAGATGTCGCTTAACATTTTAAAATGTTCCCCTCTCAGATGAGGAAGGGGTGCGCTACGTGCCCGTCAGGCCCCGCCCACCCGTCACCCTCCTACGGCACTACCGTAACCCCTGGAAAGCCGCCTACCACCATTTCCAGAGGTACAGCGATATCCGTGTCAAAGGTTAGTTCTTCCAGACAGAGGCAAAAATCTTGCTGCGCTATGAATGAAATGTAATTCATTCATATTTTGTTTTTGTCTCAGAGGAGAAGAAGGGCACCTTACAGGATATGGCCAACCAGAGAGGCGTAGTGTGCCGAGCGCAAGGCTGGAAGATTCACCTGTGTGCCGCACAGCTCAGACAGCTGGTGAGTGAAAAGTTCACGTTAAAAAGGTTCAAGTGGTGTTTGCCAACTTTTATTGAGCATAGGCACATTTTGGCCATTAATTGACTGGACCAGAGACCCTCCCCCGCTGTATTTAAGATCCAATGCATTTGATGGATACCTTTTATTTAAGAAATATTCACAAGTCATAGTTAATCAGCTCGGATCACATCTCCCATCATTTGTGTTGTATGGTTAAATAGGTTCAAGCGGTGTTTGCCAACTTTTATTGAGCAAAGGCACATTTTGGCCATTGACTGGACCGAGACCCTCCCCCGCTGTATTTAAGATCCAATGCATTTGATGGATACCTTTTATTTAAGAAATATTCACAAGTCATAGTTAATCAGCTCGGATCACATCTCCCATCATTTGTGTTGTATTTACACAGTTAGCATTAGCTAAAATTACCTATCCAAAAATCACTATGGAGTTGGTGGTTTGCAAAAGACCATTCGATACATGGGGTGTGGAACCTTTCGGTTCGATTTGATGCAGCCACATCTTTCAAACCAAAACCGATTTTCCCCATTTAAATTTGTTTTCATTGCACCCCTACTGTGTCGTGCTTTCAGAGTTGGAAATGAGCGAATAATTGTGTGAACGGTCTTCCCAGCCAAGTGAAACCAGCCAATTTGTCTTCCCTTTTTTACTCCGATCATGCATAACGGCAACATGTCCGCGATACTTGACTTTAATGTATTTGACCGGCCTTCCTGGTCGTTTTCTGTTCTCAGTCTAGTTTGGAGCATGATGTGTACAGCCGGCTGTCCTCTCTGCAAGAGGGCCTCATACCCAAGAAGAGAGCGAGCGCAGACGACGACCTGCACCGTATCAATGAACTCATACAGGTCCAACTTAAATATCTATATTTTTTCCCCCAAATTGCACTCTATAATATTATAGGCTTCTTTATATTATATATTTAGCTTTTTTTATGATTATTATTCATTCATTTCAATGAGCATTGTGTGACTTCTGGTGCCTCGACCACCGGGAGCAGTATGTTACAGACATGTGGAGCTGGTCAAAACTCTTTAGTGAGCCACACCAATATTAGTCGCTTTTTTAAGATGATAAAAATATTATCTTAGACCTGTGAGTGACAATAACCACTTGTGTTGCTTTCACTTTGTGTTGAAATATCTGTCGCTTAGGAGGTTTAAACGGCACAAAAAGCAATGTTTGTTAGCCTCTCTACAGGCGAGATGACATCTCCCATCTTTTACCCACAGGGCAACATGCAGCGCTGCAAGCTGGTAATGGACCAGGTGACAGAGGCTCGGGACACCATGATGAAAGTCCTGGAGCACAAAGACAAAGTTCTGAAGCTGCTAAACAAGAACAGTTCCGTCAAGAAATCATCCAAGCTCAAGCGGAAGGAGCGGGCATGAGATTCCCCCTAACTCACGCATCCCTTTACCCCCCGCTCAGAATCTGGTGCTATGATCTGCTTCATACAATCACAAGCACCCACCGTGGGCAAACAAGTGGCTGGCGGGGAACCTTTTAAGGTTCATTTCCGAAGACCTCAAGAGACAGTGTTTGCTAACTTAGCTTCCGCCAGGTCGCCGAGCCGTGGCGCGAAAGAGCCAAGAAGGAGTTGAAAATGGTAACCTGAAGACCAACCTCAAACGTGCTGTTTTTTTGTTTTGTTTTGTTTTGATCAGTGCCTTCTTTGTGTTTGCCGATGATTGGACCGCCGCCATTTTGCGACGATGTGTGCTCGCCTGTCACTCGTTTCCCGCCGATTTTTAGCACTCTCATTCGATGAAATTTCTCCTCGGTTCATTCAAGGGGGAGTTTGCAGATTAAAAACAAATCACTTTTTGTCAAAATTGTTTCACTGTCAGTAGAAACCTGACAGTAATTTAAAATAACAGAATTTGTTGATTTGATGTGGACGTCAGAAACATTGGACAAAACTTCTAATAGTACATTTGTAAATTGATCGATGGAAAAATCATTCTCTGACCCCATCTTCTACCTCTGATTTGATTTTTAAGAAAATGCTTTGCTAGAGGAAAAACAACCACTCAGAGACCAAAGGCGTGTCTTCTGCGGTGTATTTTTTTTTTTTATCTTTATTTTTTGCAAACTCCCCCATCAAATCTGATTATTACTCAACTCATTCAGTACCAGCCAATTCTGGACCAAGTCTGAAAAGACATTTAAAAACGTCTTTGGGAGTGAATGAGTTAAGAACCTCCATAGTCGAGCTCCCCACAAAAGATAAAAGTCATACAAAATGGTTTGCAATTGCCTCACGATGCCACAAGATGGTGTCATTTTTTTACATGAGACATGGCTTTGGCCTGAGCACAAAAAACGGTAAATAGGTAATAGCTTCCCGTTGAACTGAGATGGGAAGTTTCAATTTTTCAGGCCGTCGCCAAGCTCAAATGAAAAATATTGCTCTGGTGGCATCTAGTGGCAATTGAATCCTTTTTGGGTAAGGGTCAATTGTGGATTTTCGTGACAATAATAGCAGCGGTTCACTGTCAAAGGAATATTTGGAAGTGGCAGGATTCATCTGTTTTTTTATTTTTGTTCTTCATTAAGAAGGCAGAGAAGGATTTGCAGTGGAGCGTCCTCATGTTCACAAAGCTGTTACTGTTTAAATGTGCTCTTTTTTTTTTTTTTTTTTGTACACACACACCCCAATCTCAAAATGGAGACATTTTGTGCCGTGCGATGTGTAAAAACAAACAAAATTTCACAGAGAGGTAGCGTGGTAGGGTCACGATCATTCAGACCAGACGTTGTACATTGTTTTTTGTCTGTAAGTATAGTAAAGATGCTTCAACAACACACACTAGTACTCGGATGTTATTCCACACCAGCAGTTCAGTTCCACATGTGTGATTCTCAGTGGGGTATGTAACTCCCTCTAGTGGGTCATAAAATAATCACTGATTTAAATTGCGTAATATTACAGTGGCTTCAAACTTTTGCGATCAAGTAAAATATGCAGTATAGTTCAGGTGTCATCTTTTTAATTGGATTATATTGTTGGTGATGTTTGATGAGGCAAAAATTTTCTTGTGCCAGTGCTGCTTTAAAAAAAAAAAAAAAGGTATTTACTGTCATACATTTGGCTCTGCTGATTCTACCATTTACTATGTTGTCACTGGGTGGTTCTACAGGAGCAAAGTCAAAGAGTCATAAAAAAAAAAAAAAAGAGACTTCCTTCTTCAGTGTCATTGGGGGAACAACATCTCACAGGAAAAACCAAACCCTCAGGTAAGACTTGACTCTAAAATGTATATTCTTAAATTCAAAGTCATCTTATTTTAAAGGATGAGATCTACGGTTTTTCATTTGTTTTGTTTTTTCTAACCAATTGAATTCAATGAAAAAAATTATACACTGGTATGTAAATATGCTGCAGCCCTAACAAAAGACCAAACGAAATACTGTACGTAAATCACAGGTGGGCAACCTTGGCCATGGTGTCCTAAACTCGTCCCAGATGAGTTTTAACAATTCTAAAGGAAAAATAAAACCTCACAGGTAGTGTTATAAAAAATATTCCTTGGATGACTTCATCAAATGGGCCCTGATAGGAAAAACAGATTTGAATGACACTACAAGTGAAAAAAATGTTTTTCTTCCAGATTTCCAGTGATGCATCTGTCAAAGGTAAATGATTTTAAAAAATTATTTAATAATAATAATGCTTCAGCATATAACGTGCATCTGGCAAGTATTTACTGAATGTAATACACATTTTGTTATAAGGCTGCCTGGAATATAACCAAAGGTGGGAAAATTGAAGTACTGTGAAAACTTTCTGGATGTGTTATGTGCATATTCAATCACTGTTGATGTTTCATCAATTAGGGGGATTTTGTGTGGGTGGACACCGGGGCCGGCGTGCCCATCGGGGCCCAGGTGAAGGTGACTGACACGGGGCAGCTTCAACTAATCGATGACGAAGGAAAGGTAATATATACTACTACTATATATATATGTATATGTGTGTACTGTATGGCGTATCAATGAAAAGATAAATCTGTCAAGTTCTTGGTGACGTGTATGAACAAACCCAACTTCCAGGAGCACAAGATCACCAAGGGTATTGAGGGTGGCCTGCGGCCCATGCACCCCACTTCGGTGAACGGTGTGGACGACATGATCCGGCTGGGGGATCTGAACGAGGCCGGCCTCCTCAGGAACCTCTTTGTGCGGCACAAAGACGGACTCATCTACGTAAGTCCATCCCGCCTCGCATTTTATGGGCCGTAATCGCCCTTGCTGGAAGTACTTAATCTGCGCCCTGGACTTTGCCCCCCTCTTTTGGGTGTTTTATCACTCGTCTCCATGGTGACCAATCGGCCTCTGCCGGTGAAAGGAAACTGACGTGAGATTGAGAGTCGTTTTGTCACGTGTAGTTACGAATGCTGTAAATGTCAGAGTCAACATGATCAGTGTTGGGGGGTGGGGGGGCGTGTTGGCCAGAGTTCCAAAGGGGGTCATAACCACAATGGCCACCACTTCTCCTCAGTTCTTAGTTATCCGTTAACCTGTCTGTCATGGTATAAATTCTTATTTGTTCTTCACAGAGGATAAATAATATACGCCTGTAATTTTTTCAGGGTTTTTTTTTTTTTTTTTTTTTTTTTTTTTTTGTCATTTGTATGTCCGCATTTTTCATTGCACCATCCAGGTCTGTCAATGGGCAATTTAAATCTAAATTTCTGGGCAATTTAAAAAAATATATATATATCTCCAGATCTTTTCCTTTCTTCCATACCCATTTAAGAGCCTTGTTCGTAACACCTCAGATCCGCACTTTTTCCCTTCAAACATGTTTGCATTATGTTCGTATGGAAATGGACAGAGTGGTGTACGATGAAAGTAACCAAGGTAGCCTGTTCCCAATACTAACTCTGGGAGTGCAGTGGCCCCGAAAGCAGTAAAAGACATGAAACGACTGACCCTGTGTTTTTCAGACATTCACAGGCTCTATCCTGGTGGCGGTGAACCCCTATCAACTGTTGCCGCTCTACACGGCCGATCACGTGCACCAGTACACGGACCGGCGTCTGGGCGAGTTGCCACCGCACGTCTTCGCCATCGCAGACAGCTGTTTCTTCAAAATGCGCCGCAACCGCAGGAACCAATGCTGCGTCATCAGGTTTGGGGACCTTTAGGGTTCTTCTAATTGGAAAACGTCACAATTTCTTCTTACCTTTACAGTGTTACCTGGACTTCTGAGTATAAGAATGTTAGTCTTTTGGAGGGGCTGGAACAGATTAATGGCATTTGCATTCATTTCAAAGGGCAAAGTTGATTTGAGTTACGAGCATTGTCATGGAAACTGATTAGACTTGTCAGCCAAGGTACCACTGTACTCAGTTTTTCCCTTGCCTTGTAAAATTGCCCCATCTTGAAGCTGTTGGTAAATCTGTATTTTAACCATACGAAGCACTTTGTGAGTCCTCTGTGTGGGAAGTGCAACATGAATAAAATTTTTATTCCTGTTTTGTGTGTTGCGATGCCACAGTGGGGAATCAGGGGCCGGCAAAACGGAGAGCACCAAACTCATGCTGCAGTTCCTCGCGGCCGTGAGCGGCCAGCACTCTTGGATTGAGCAGCAGATCCTGGAGGCCAATCCCATTTTGGAAGGTTAGTTTACAACAGGGGTTTTCTTGGCTGAAATTGAGCCAGAAGTACCAGTTGTCATCATCTCTGAGCTTTTAGAGCCAGAGTTGGTCGGGCATTAGGTGGAGGGAGCCGCTCTGGTCGACGCAAAACACCAAATTGTCCTTAGCTGTGAAAGTGAGTGTGAATGGTTGTTGCTCTTTACATTCCCTGCAATTGGCTGGAACCCAGTCAAGGGTGCGTCCCAAACTCAGCTTGTATCAACTCCAGCTCATCCACAACCTTTCGCAAGGATAAGCGGTATTGAAAATTTTTTAAAATGGATGGCTGGAAAAACCGTAGCTTCTCACTTCCTCTGACAACACCCCGCAGCCTTCGGGAACGCGAAAACCATCCGTAATGACAACTCCAGTCGCTTTGGCAAGTACATCGACATCAACTTCACCAAAGGAGGCGCCATCGAAGGGGCTCGAATCGAGCAGTACCTGCTGGAGAAGTCCAGGGTGTGTCGCCAGGTCAGAACACCGAGAGAAAAAAACAAATCAACTGGGTTGTCCTGAAGATGAAGAACAACGTTTGCTTTCCAGGCACCCGAGGAGAGGAACTACCATGTTTTCTACTACCTGCTGATGGGAATGCCGGCTGAGCAGAAGAAGATACTTTCGCTAGGGAGCGCCGCTCAATACAACTACTTGACGATGGTATTGAACGCACTTTAGACAGACTCCTAGTCCATGGATTAACACACACACACACACACACACACACACAACTGTACTGTATGAACAGGGGAAGTGCACCAGCTGCGAGGGTCGTGACGATGTGAAGGAATACGCTCACTTCCGCTCGGCGTTGAAGATCCTCATGTTCAGCGAGAACGACACCTGGGAAATCTGCAAGCTGCTCGCAGCCATCCTGCACATTGGCAATGTCAACTTCGAAGGTGAGGTGCAAGTTGGCCATAGTTGTACGTTGGTATAGTCTTGGTCCCGACTTGTCAAGGTTTTGGTATATGACTTGGTCTCAGCTATCAAAATCTTGGCCTCGATTTGGTCTCGGGTCTACAAATTCTTGGTCTTATTGAAGTCCTGGTATTTAACTTGGTCTTGGCTTCTCTTGACACATCCTAAACCCTTCAAAGTCTTGGTTTTGACTCAGATCTCCAGATCGTGGTCTTGACTTGGTTTGGGTTCCTCTTGATTTTGGTCTGGGATCCTCAAATATTTGGTTTCGGCATGATCACGGCTCCTGAAAATCTTGGTATTGATATGGTGACAAGTTTTAAGTTAAGTTTTTGTCTTGAGTTGGTCCCAACCCCTGCAAGTCTGGATCACGGTCCAGGCTCTCAAAGTCTTCGCTTTTGAGCTCATCTCAGCTCCTAAAAGTCTTGCTTTTGGCTTGGTTCTCGACTTGGTCGAGGTCTTGACTTGTCTTCGATCCTAAAAATACTCCCACTCCCTCCATTTCAGGAACCATCGTTAACAATCTGGAGGGCTGCGAAGTCCTGGGGTCAATACATTTCGACATGGTGTGCCAACTTTTGGAGGTGAGTTAAAAAATATTTGATAGCAAATGCAAGTTAGTTGTTGTTCAGTCTTGACACCACTTCCTGTGATTGCCTTTTGTCCCTTAGGTGGAGCCGAAAGTTCTGGAGAAGAGTTTGACTCAGAGTTCCTTTATGACCATTCGGGAGAGCGTCAGCAAAGTTCTGACCTCAGCACAGGCCCAGGATGGCAGAGACGCCTTTGTCAAGGTAACAGGAAGTCACTCCTTCGCCTGTATTAAATTTGCAAATGTGAGATTTTGGTTGAAAATGTCATGGCCGCGAATGCGTCTTTGTCCCCAGCTCTCACGATTTTAGTCGCGACTTGATTTTTGCTCCTTGCAATTTTGGTCTCTACTTGGTCTCAAGCCCTTTAAGTCTTGGTCTCAACTTGTTCTTGTCTGCTTCGTCTTTTATTTTGACTTTGTATCAATACCTCATTATCTAGTTCTTGAGTCTGTCCCAACTCTTCAAAGTTTTAGTCTTACCATGGTCTCTACTCTCATCTTCGAGTCTTTTCCTGACTTTTTCGTGACTCCTTAAAATCTTAGTTTTGTCTTGGTCCTCAACACGCCAAGTCTTAGCCATGACTTGATTTTAGATCCTCCCCACCTCAGGATCTTGGTTTTGACTTGGCCCCAACCCCTGAAAGTCTTGATTTGATCTTGACTCCTCAAAATCTTAAGGACTCTCAACATGTCTTAAAGTGTATATTTTGTTCTGTTGATAATCTACTGTGTGTGTGTGAATCTCTTGTGCTTCGGTGGACACACTTTATGACAGAAATGATTTTCTTTATGGTCCGCCAGGCTATTTACGGCCGTCTTTTCATTTGGGTGGTGGACAAAATCAATGCGGCCATTCACAAGCCGCCCGGGGAGTCCGACGAGGTCAGACAGTCCATCGGCCTCCTTGACATCTTCGGCTTCGAGAATTTCAACACAAACAGGTCAGTGTTCTCCTCTTGGAGAGTTCGTGTTTTCTGGCATGATCTATGATCCGTCTCCTTATCTATGTTGTTTTCGTAACTTGTGGTTGGCAAAAAATACTCACACCCTGCACTTGAGTATAAGTAAAAGTACCGTATTTGTGTTTAAAAAAAAAATAAATAAAAAGTCAGAAAAATACAGTGGTACCTTGACTTTAGAGCGCCCCCATTTACTATTTTTGAAGTTTATTTATGTTTTTTCTCTTTTTTGCTTTGTGTTGCATGTGAAAATTTACGTAATGAGCAAACTTCAGATGCAACATCATCAAAGTAAAGTGAAAAAAATGGTGGGAATTTTCAGCCTTTTATTGAACAGTCAAACACACGTATGAAAAGTGAACACGAGTATCGAGCTGCTCTCGTCCACAACTTGTGCCCAGACACTCACATGTAGACTAACCAGTCAACTCCAGCACATGACAACACTCACTCAGCCATGCCCCTTAAAGGCACACATCCAACACCCGAATACAGTGGGGGCTCGGAACGGTGCCCTGCCGTGAATGCCAAAATCAGCGAGTATTGTGACACCTCCCCAAAGACAAAGGACTACTTTTGTCTAAATGAAGCTTCTCATCAAATGGAAACAAAGCTACATTGTTATTGTCAATATCTGTTGCCACAAAAACAATTGTGGTGTTTTTTTGGTGGGTACTTGAACGGATTAATGACATTTCAATTAATTCCAGTGGGGAATATCGATTTGAAATATGGATCAATGGAATTACGAGCTTGTCACAAAAGAAATTCAACTTATATATCAAGGAACCCGCCGTTCGCTGGTAAAGTACAATGAGCAGAAAAATTGACTGACGTACAGTAAGGACGAATTTGGATTTTCCCACCACTGCAGCTTTGAGCAGCTCTGCATCAACTACGCCAACGAGCAGCTGCAGCAGTTTTTCGTCAGGCACGTGTTCAAGCTGGAGCAGGAGGAATATGCCCGAGAAAGCATCGTGTGGGAGCGCATCAACTACAAGGACAACCAGGAAACTTTGGATGTGCTTGCCAACAAGGCCCTCAACATACTGGCCCTCATAGATGAAGAAAGCAACTTCCCCAAGGTCCAAATTCTTGAATCTTTTTTTTTTTTTTAGGTCAAAATGTTCCTGTTCAAAGTTCAAAGTGTTTGTATTTTTTTTGGGTCTGCCTCATCAGGGTACGGATACCACCATGCTCCAAAAAATGAATCAGGTTCACGGGAAGGGCAGCATCTACATTTCCCCCAAGAATAACTACGAGACTCAATTTGGAGTCAGTCATTTCGCAGGCGCCGTGTACTACGACTCCAAAGGTAAAAATCGAACAAACTAGCCCATTGTCAATTTTCAGAAAGGCAACCCTTCAAAGTCTGGCCTCAAGTTATGGTTTCAAGTCGAGGTTAGTGTCAGAAAATCGGGTTTGATGCTGGTAGTAGGATTTAAGAGCAAGTTACAAATGAGGATTAGAGTTTCAGGACAGGGTTATGGTTTCAAATTTGGAATTCAGTCCTGATTTCGGGCTTCAAATAAGGATTTAAAGCCAGTGTTAGGGTTTCAAGTCAGGGTTTCTATTTTGAGTTTTTGGAGAGCGTCATGGTTCAAATCAGGTGTTCAGACATGGATCGGGGGTTTGAATGAAGATGCAGAGCCAAGGGTTTCCGTCGGTTAGGGATTTAGGACAGGATTATAGTTTAAAATCAGGGTTTCAAGGGTAAGAATTTTAAATGAGGATTTCACAGCAGGGTTATGGTTTCAAATTTGTATTTCAGGGCAGTGTTAGACTTTCAAATTAAGGTTTCAAACATTTGGGGTTTTAGATTACAGTTTAGGGATACAGGACAGGCTTCGGGTTTCAAATTTGCAGTTCAGGACAGGGTTAGGATTTCAAGACAGCATTATGGTTTCAGTTGTGCCTTCCACACAAAATCCAAAGCAACATCTTGAATCGTGATATTTTCTTTATCGCTCTAAAACCTCTTCCTGCCAAAGAGAACATTTTGCTCACTAAGTCCCTGTTTTTCAATTAAAACATCCCAAGGTTTTCTGGAGAAGAACCGTGACGCCCTGAGCCTCGACTTCATCCAGCTGGTGGAGACATCCAGTAACAAGTTGCTCAAGATGGTCTTTCACAACGAGATCTCCACTACCACCAACAACAGCACCAAGAGCGCAGCCAACCCCAAAATGGTCATCAACACACCCAAGAACACGCTAAGGGTCAGTTCAAATTAACCGTAAAGCTACCATAACGCTGTCTTGAAACCATAACGCTATCCTGACCCCTGTCCTGAAACCCTCATATCAAACCAATAATCCTGTCCCGAAACCTTGAATACTATTTCAAAGCAATTTGAGATGCCAACTTCTAAAGCCCTATTCCAGGCCTGAAACCGTAACCTAAACCCCTAATCCAGGACTGAAACCCTGATTTGAAACCATAACCCTGTCCTTATACCCAAAACCTGACTTGGTGTTAGTAAGACTAAATTTCCTATGTTTTGTGTGTAACAGCAAGCAAACGACGGCAAGAAGCGAGTTCCCACGCTGACCGGTCAGTTCCGTCAATCCCTCGACTCTCTGATGAAAACCCTGACAGCGTGTCAGCCGTATTTCATCCGGTGCATCAAACCCAACGACTACAAGAAGCCCATGGTCAGCGCCGCCCACCCCAACTCACGCTAACAGAGGACACGCATGCATTTCATTTGGATGTTTTGTGTGTGCGCGGGTGTGTGTGTATTCAGCTGTTTGACAGAGAGCTGTGCCTACGTCAGTTGCGCTACTCGGGCATGATGGAGACCATCAGGATCCGCAAAGCCGGTTATCCGGTACGCTATACATTTAACGAGTTCCTGGACCGCTACAGGGTTCTTCTCAAGACCTACATCTGTGACCCACAAAAGGTGCGTGAACCTGTTGGATATTCAACCTCTTGGACTTGAATTATTTGTCTTGAATTGGTCTCAACCCTTCAAAGTTTTGGTCAAGACTTGATTTTGGTTCCTGAGTAATGAGTCATTCTCAAGCTAGTGGTCTTTGCTCCTCAAAATGATTGTTCTTTGCTTGTTCATGGCCTCTCAAAGTCTTGATCTGGGCTCATTCATCAAATTCTCGGTCTTGATTTGCTCTCAACCCGCAAATTTGTGATCTTGACTAGACGTATTGGTCTTGACTCTCGACTTTTCAACACCGTTAGGCTTCTCAAAGTCTTGGTGTTGTTTTGGTCTCTATTTCTTAATATCTGAATCATAATTATTCAACTGTTCAAGTCTTGCTCTTAACTTGGTCTAGACAACATTTTGGTATTGACTCATCGTTGGCTCATTTGTGACTCGCCCTCAACCCCTCCATTTCTTGGTCTTCCCTTCTCAAAGTCTTGTTCTTGACATGGTCTAGATTCCTCAAGATCTTTGTTTGGCACCTCGTTCTCAACCGCTCAAATTCTTGTTCTGGATGTAGTTTTGGCCCGTCAGATGATTCTTTTTCTGACTCTGCGGACAGGAAAGCAAAGAGAAATGCTGCGAAAGCATCTGCGAATCTGTGCTGGCAGGAGAGGGTGACTGGAAGACTGGAAAGACAAAGATCTTCCTCAAGGTGAGCTGACTTTGAATGGTGAAGGAATTATATGATTAAAAAAAATGCAACAAATCCAGAACAAATGACCCTTAGGATTTCCACGACACCATGCTGGAAGTGGAACGGATGAAAGAACTGAACGCCAAAGCGCTTTTGATCCAGAAGGTTCTACGAGGCTACAAATACCGGTAGAAGAGAATAGATATCACGTGCATGTCTTCTGATCATTGTTATTGATGAGTCGTGGCTCTTTTCAGAAAACAGTTCCTCAAGAAAAAAGGAGCTGCTCTCGTCATCCAGAAGCACTGGCGAGGACACAAAGGGAGACAAGTGTACCGTGTGGTAAGTCCAGACAGCAACTTTATATTCTTCTTAGACATTCACAAAAAGTTCAGGGCTTCTGGTCGAGATTTTTTGATGTTCTTCACTGAGCTGAAGGGCAAAATTTGTGAGTAGTGCACTGCACTTAGGATTAAAATGATCCCTCCTTGTTCTTGTGAAATCTTTTAGGTCCAGAAGGGCTTTGCCAGACTTCAGGCACAGGTTCGCTCCCGTCAGCTGCACCTCCAGTACAAGAGAAAGCGGCAGGCGGCCATCTTGCTGCAGGCACAGGTGCGAGGCTATGTGGCCCGCAGGGACTGGAAGCGCAAGAGGGACGCCGTGGTCTTCCTGCAGGCGCACACCAGAGGCTTTCTGGCCAGGAGGACTGTCAAGAACATGAGGAGAAACGTAAGACCACCGTGAACATCTGACACTTTTAAAAAGTATTTCTAGGTCAGTAGAGTTAGCCTATGCCAGATGTAAGGATTCAGTGTTTACAGTTTCAAATAAGAGTTATGTATCTATCTATATATTTAAGTATCTGTCAGCTAAAGAGAAAGAGGCGGAGCGTCTGGCCATGCTGAAGCGTCAGAAACATCTTGAGGACGTGCTCAGGCAGAAGAAGGAGATGGAGGCCCAAGCCCAGTCCGAGTCCATCATGGATCAGCAGGTGGACGACATCTTTGGATTCCTGCCCGTCATGGTGGGGGGGCAAGAGGGACAGGCGCCCGAAGGGTTTGAGGTGAGGACACATAAGGCTCCCCTTCTGTCCTGCTTTTATGTCAACACATCGTTTCTGTGCGCTTTCAAGACCTTGGAGAGCAAACGAGTTCTGCTAGAGGAGATCGACATTGACACCATCTCCATGGAGGATGAAGACCTGTCTGTAGAGGACCAGGATGACCTGGACGATTACCCCTTCTCCAAATTGGCCTCAATGTACTTCCAGGGCGGTGCGTCACATACGCACATCCGCCAGAGGCTGAGACGACCGCTGCTTTACCATGAGGACGAGGGAGACGTCCTGGTACTTCCTCATCAACTCATCCACTAACACCTCATTCCAGACCAGCCATGAAGTCGAGAGTTTTTTGTTTGGCAGCGACACAGCTGCCAGCTAGCGTGAAAAAAAATTGAATTCTGTAAAATAATCCTCAATTTTAGTCAATGTACCTGTAATCTGATTACATCTTTTTTCTGCAGGTGTAACAGAATAGTTACTTTTTTTGTATTCTGAATACATAATGCCAGTACATGTATTCAATTCCTCCCCAAGCCTGCAAGTGACAGACACAACACGAGGTTGCAGTCAGCAGCTCGCGGCCAGAACAGGAAGCTAACATAGGAGTTGATGACAGGCTAGATTGCAGCTCAACAGTTGAATAGCTAACTTGTGGCTAAGAAAAATGAGAACCTAATCGAGGCGTCAACATCTTCACTCTAATGTAATGTGAACTATTCAACATCATACTTATAAAATATTTTACATCTGGATCACAATAACAAGCTTATGACAGCTAGCCAGTCGCCAAGCTAGCAACTAGCTTGTTAGCGACTTCGCAGGTGTCTGGAATGTAGCCCCAATCTTTTTGCAACGTTAGCTCATTTTCTCATGATGTCATTATTTACTTGTTCCTCTTCTTGTGTGGTTATTAGGCCTCGCTGAGCGTTTGGTGGATCATCCTGAGGTTCATGGGGGATCTTCCTGAGCCAAAAAAGCAGTTCCAGTTGCAGGGAAGCTCCTCACAGGGGCGCTTTCTCAATCAGGACGTAATTGACAGAAAGGACAGACGTCTCAGCCACATGGTTGGGCTGGATCAGGTACAAGGCCCTTAGTCTCGTCGTACAGATTACTGGGATCAATTCCACACAAATCAGGGTTTGAAATCAGGGTTCACAGGGTGAGTGTTTAAAACTTTACAAAAAGTCTAAAATCAAAAGAGTTCTCCATATTTTCATTTTAGCGTGTGCTCCGGAACAAAAAGGGCCCGCAGCCTTCTCCTGTTCAGGAGGAGTCCACTCCCAACAGAAAGGCGTCCATGTTCACCGATCTCATGTCGAGAAACAAGAGGGCCGCTCCGGGCGAGGTGGCCCCAAACACCAAGGTCTACACCGTCCCTGAAGGGAGCCCTCGAACCCGAAAGGGCTCCACCTTCACAGACCTACTGTCCCGGAGTCGGAAAACCTCCGGCGTTCAGGAAAATGGAATTCCCAGATCTTCTTCCAGCTTCCGGAAACCCTCCATCATTATGGAAGAGGTGAGACCGAGACTTTTAAACTGTCCTAAGAATTTTTTGGTGGGAGTTTCCTGTCAATAAAACTATTTCCCCTTGAAAATACACATACTTCCAGGTGGTCATAGCTCTGGTGCCAACACGTGTAAACAAACCCTTTCGTGTCAATTGACCGAGGGAAAGCGATTGAGAAAATGTTAAATTGCTCAAATTATTGTAACCTTCTCTTCTGCTGTATTTTGTATCTGTAAAGTGTCAGTTGAGATGAAGATGTGATGTGAGGTGAATTACTTGGAAGGGAGATGAAACGCCGGGCGTAATTTACATTTCCGACGGGTAATATTAAAGGTACAGGCATGCTCTTTGGATACTATTTCTGAAGAGCAGATACGAGCTAACAAGGTTAACCAAATATTTTTGACACAGATCTGTGTCAAAAATATCTTCCAAAAAACTGAGGATGGATATTTGGTTCCCAGTCTTGCTCTTTAGTGGCCAGTCTCCCACTAGGCAGTCTTACGATCCCTTTCATAATTTCGATATAAGAAAATGACCAAAAAAAATCGTTTGCGATATCTATTGTGGTACAACCACAAACGTTTTTGTCACAATTTAAGAGCAAGTCGTGACTCTTTTTGCCACCCAGACCTACCTAGCTTCACCTTTCACAAATATTATATAAAAGTCTATACTGTATTGCTTTTAGTCTGAGGATCCGACGGAGGTGTCCAAGGCTCCCACCCTCCAGACGGTGAAGGAGGATGGTGACGATGTCTTGATCGGGGAGGGTCCCACCCTGGACAGGCCCCTTACGTCTCTGGAAAAGCTGCACATCATCGTGGGCTATGGCATCGTCCGACGTGACCTCAGGGATGAGATCTATTGCCAGATCTGCAAGCAGCTGCAGGACAACAATAACCGCAACAGTTATTTCCGAGGATGGATCCTGCTCTCACTCTGTCTGGGCGTCTTCCCGCCGAGTGAACGGATTATAAAGGTGAGGAGAGGCCATTTTGACACTATCGTAAAAGGCTACACTTTGTTCTGGTGTATTATAAAAATGCAAACTTCAAGTACACAAAGCAATCTTACCTTTGTTGGTATATAAACAAGCACATGATTAAATTGGTGGCTAGCTAGCCAGCTAGCAAGTAAGAGAAACAAATGTCACCACTCTACATCGGTCATGTTAAAACATAAGAAATACAGAAAACACTGTTAAACACACAGCGGCTGGATCGTTAGTGGCTAGTAAGCATGAGAAATATCCGAGCAGATAACACACCTTGACATTAATTTAATGTAAAACATCAAACATGACATGACGTGTTGTACACGCTAACTTTTATTCACAAGTGACAAACGTGACATATAACCAGTCGGTGGTTAGTTTGTGATTAACAAGCATGAGATGTCTACATTGTCCCCCTGCGGTCCTTTTGGAACAGTACATCCAGAGTTTCATCCGCTTCGCTCCCAGCGGCTACGCATCCTACTGCGCCGAGCGGCTGCGTCGCACCCTTACGAACGGCGCGCGAGGGGAGCCCCCCGCCTGGCTCGAGCTACAGGTACTGCGACTGATTTAGCATCAAATTTCATAGAGCAGCCTGATTATATATATATTTTTTTTTTTGGACATGACAGGCCACCAAGACGAAGAAGCCCATGGTGGTGTCAGTCACGCTCATGGACGGGCGCTCCATCAACCTTCCCGTGGATTCGGCTTCCACTTCCAAAGAGCTCTGCCAGCTCCTCGCTAACAAAGTCAAACTCAAAGACATGTTTGGCTTTTCCCTCTACGTTGCTCTGTATGAAAAGGTAAATGGTCAGTCAGTGGTCTGAGTAAGTCCCAACATCCCTTGAACCAAAATCTGCGGCTCTCACTCCATGATACTTGCTTAATGACCTCTGCACTCCACATCATAGCCTAACGGTGGGTTGCCAGGTGCGGTCGAGATAAGAGAGCTACGACTTCCAAAAACAAAACAAGTGGCGCAGTAGTCCTCTACATAACGTCAAATGTAAACAGGAAAGACTTGTCAAGATCTTTCATAGGTTTTGGTAGTTTTTAATGCAAGCAAGTCCCAAGTACCCACTCAAATTAGCAACTTAAGTCTGACTTAACTCATGGAACTGATGTGACTTAACTCCCCCACCTTACCTGGGATCAAAGTGCAGGTAAGATAGCCATAACTTGTGGACTCCGGTTGCTTAGGTGTGGGCCCTGGGCAGCGGCCGCGAGCATGTGATGGACGCCATCTCCCAGTGCGAGCAGGAGGTGAAGCGGCGCGGCGGGCAGGAGCAGCACGCGCCCTGGCGCCTGTTCTTTCGCAAGGAGATCTTCACGCCGTGGCACGACTGCGCCGAGGACATGATCAGCACCGAGCTCATCTACCAGCAGGTCGTCCACGGCCTGAAGTTTGGAGAGTACCAAATGGAGAAGGTGAGCTCAGACCCGGATGGTACGGATGCTCCATCAGTAAACTGTGCTCCTTTTTTGAAATCGACGCAGGAAGAGGATCTCGTCCACCTCGCCGCCAAGCATCTCTATATCCAGCACGGCTCGGATAACGGCAGCGAGGCGGTGAGGGAGGCTGTGCAGGCCTGCATCAGTAACCCCCTGCTGGAGGCCAAATCTGAAGGCAAATGGGTGCAAATGATTTCCACGGCCCACGCGCAGGTCACTTGCATTCCTCCATTGTCACCCGTGAGCGCCCCCTGGTGTCTGATTTTTGGGATTCTTTTGTGCAAAGGGTTCATACTTGAGTTCTCTGCAAGAAGCGGATTCGGTGAAGGCGGAGGTGGTGGATTACGCCCGCGAGAAGTGGCCCATCTTCTTCTCTCGGTTCTTTGAGGTGGTCAAGTTGTCAGGTAGGACTTAAGTCCATCGGTAATCTATGAGCAGGGAACGGGGAAAAAGAGTGTCAAGGAATGTCACTGAGCCTCCCTGGGAATAATGTTGAGGAGAATCCGGCCAGGAGTTGAACCTCCTCCCTACAGAAGGTGGAATAAGGCCTTTATCCCGGTCATGGAGGTCTAGGACCAGACCCTCAGAAGCGTGGTTCCCAACTTGGATTTTGTGGCATGTCCCTGCCAATTACGGTCCCTTAAAAGCTTCAGAACTTTTTTCCCCCCCTTTACGATATGCCTGCTCATAAGGACGCTGGAGGTTACTGTCGTACCAGTCCACTCGTGATCTGCAAAAGTGGAATCGGGGCAACTACATTCTTCATAGTTGTCCAAAAAGCTTTTTCAGTCCTAAATCTTTCGCGTGGAGTTGACCCCAAATTTAGAAGTCCTTTGTCATGTTTCCAGGTCCTCCATTGCCAAAGAGCAAGTTCATCGTGGCCATCAACTGGACTGGCATCACTTTCCTGGATGAGCGAGAAAAGAGGCTTCTGGAACTCTCCTTCCCAGAAGTCACCGGCGTTAACTCCACGAGGTTCGAGTCTAGAAAGCAAGAAAGGATTCCGAGGATGCTCCATACCTGAAACCTCAAAGCCGTCTTTTCTTCTCCCAGAGGTGCTAAAGGCCCGGTGGTGTCTTTGCTGACTCTGAAGGGAGACTTCACGCTGAGCGGATCCACGGCGACGGACATGGCCGAGCTGGTCACCATGTTCCTCAGCGGACTGACCGAGCGCTCGCAGTATGCCGTCACCCTGAAGGAAATGGAAAAGCAAGGTTTGTCACCGCATCGCTGGCTGTGTTCATCGATAACCACTCAATTTGTTTGCATTCCTGACAGATGACCCGACGTTCCTCAGCTTCAAGAAGGGCGAGCTCATCATCATACTTAAAGACAATGAGTTCTCGCAGCAGCGCGGCTGGATAAACGGGCAAAATTACAGCACAGGAAAAACAGGGGCCGTTCCCACGGAGGCCATCTTAATCCTGCCAACGCTCAACAAACCCACAAACGAAGTGATGGTAAAGAGACCGGGGTGCTGTCGTGCATCTTCGATAAGCTTTTTTTTCTCCCCTTGATTCAGGGGTATCAAACTCATTTTTGTCGCGGGCCACATTTTAGTGACCGTTTTCCTTGCAGGGCCGTTATGACTGAAACCATATAAAGAAGTCAAGAATAAATGTTTATTCATTCATTGTTTAAGTTACTGAAATAAGGGGTTCGGGAACAAGAAAATGCTGACAGCATCACTCTTATTTGTTACAAATGAGGATTTGAAATTTTGGTAGCGATTTTAGCAAGCGTCATGAAAGTTGCCATCTTTGCCTATTTGCTTTCGCGGGCCACATAAAATGATGGGGCGGGCCAGATATGGCCCCCGGGCCTTAAGTTTGAGACCGGTGCCTTAATTGTTTTAATTTTGGTTTCCCATCTTCACGTCAGAGCCTGCTCAACCTATCCCCCAACCAGCGGAAGACCGTCCTGGCCAACCAGAAAGAGACCGGTACCGTGGAGCGACTCGCTCCATTTACCTTGAGGGAGTTTTCCCTCGAGTACTTCAGGTATTTTCACCTTGTTCGTAACAACCTCCATCTGCCTTGAGGAGATTCTCGGAACCATCTCGTGTCCGTGATTCTACAGGCAGCCCGCAAAGGATGTCAACCGGCAGGTGATGTCGCGCAATGCCGCTCCCGAGAGGCTGTGGTTGAACTCGCGTGAGCCCCTCCGACAGCCCCTCCTCAAGAAGCTTGTCGGCAACTCGGATTTGAGCCACAAAGCCTGCCTGGCCTTCACCGATATCCTCTTGACGATTCCATTTCGCATCTCAAGTTTGAATATTGCCTCACCGGAATCCAACCGTTCCTATTTTCTCCCTGACTCCCCGTGCACCCATCCTCAAGTACATGGGCGATTACCCGACCAAGCAGGTCCAGAGCCCCCTTGAACTCACCGATCAGATCTTTGGGCCCGCCACGGAAAAGGAGACCCTCAGAGATGAGATCTACTGCCAAATTATGAAGCAGATGAGCAGCAATAACAACCGGTAAGACGCGGTCACGTTCTTGTGATTATCAGGACCGCGCGTTGCTACTTTTTAAACCCCTCGTGTATCATAAACTACTCCGAATCCATTCGCAGGTTCAGCGTGGAGCAGGGTTGGCAGCTGCTGTGGTTGTGCTGCGGCCTCTTCCCTCCCAGCCAATCGCTCCTGAAGCACGCGCAGCGATTCCTGGAGTCGCGGCGCACAGAGCCGCTGGCCTCCGACTGCCTGCAACGACTGCAGAGCTCTTTGAGGTCAGGAGAAGACCCCCGCCGGGTGTTTCAAGACAAACACGGGCGCAAACATAAATCCAGGGCGGAACATAAACATGAACATGCGCACAACATTGCGGAAGACAAACATGGACCCTTTGGGGGAACAGGAACGTGGATGCCGTGGGCATGCTCAGAACTGCGGAACATCCATCCATCCATTTTCCGATCCACTTTATACATCATCAAGTCAATGAGATTTACCGGCGGCGCTTCAGAGCTTCTCCTCTCTTGTTTTCGTTTCGTTTTGTATCATGTCGAACATGGTGCAGAATGGACGCCAGGAAGCTTCCGCCGCACCAGGTAGAAGTGGACGCCATCCAGCAGAACAGCACGCAAATCTTCCACAAAGTCCACTTTCCCAACGACACGGGGGAGGTATGACAAACTCACGCGGCACGCCGAACGCTGGAGGAAAACCTCCCCGCGTGTGTTCGTTGTGTTTTAGATCTTTGAGGTGGCCACCAGTACCAAGATCAGGGATCTCATTCAGAACATTTCCAACAAGCTGCAACTGACTACGGCCGACGGCTTCAGCATTTTCATTAAAACACACGATAAGGTCCTTTGGCACCTTTCTTTTCACAAATTACCGAATATTTTTATTTTTTATTTTTGGGTGCCTTTAATGACTTCTTTTTCATTGTAGGTCCTCAGTCTGAATGACGGCGACTATTTCTTTGACAGTCTGAGGCAAATCACAGACTGGTCCAAACAGAACAAACGCATTAAAGACGGTAATTCTTGGCCATCCTGATCGCATTGTATGCGGAAATTTTTTGAGCGTCCAGTATCCGTGTCCTCCGCAGGTGGTCAAGTCAGCATGCCCTACTTGGTTTTCTTCATGAGGAAGCTGTGGTTAAATGTGATCCCTGGCAGGGACCTGGAGGCGGACCTCGTCTTTCACTTCCCTCAGGTGTGCACCCGAAAACCAATAAAGTCACTTTACTCTCTGAACCAGAACGCACATTTGGTGTTGGTGAAATTCGGCGGACGTGGATATCATGATCCGTCCATCCGGCCATTTTTTAATCCGCTTATCCTCACGAGGGTCGCGGGCGTGCCGGGGCCTATCGCAGCTGTTTTCGGGGAGTTCGCAGGGGACATCCTGAAGTGGTTGCCAGCCAATCGCAGGGCACCGCCGGAGCCTATCGCAGCTGTTTTCGGGGAGTAGGCGGGGGACACCCTGAAGACGAATGACCATTTTGGTTCAAAGTGGCCATTCAAGGCTCAAACGACCATTTTGGTTCAAAGTGGCCATTCAAGGCTCAAATTTGTCTGTTTGCGAGGGTCCTTCAAAAAAACACCCCTTTCTTGAGATTTTCTCCAACGGCCATCAAATTCCAAGAACCAAACTGAACATCTGGGCTGTTTTGTGTTTCACAGGAAGTCCCGAAGTACTTGAGGGGGTACCACGTGTGCGGCAAGGGCGACATGGTTCACATCGCATCCCTGCTCTTCCGCATTAAAGTTGGGAATGACAAGAGTCAGTTTGTGACCATCCCCAAGATGCTGAAAGAACTCGTACCCGGGGACCAGCTTAAGACTTTTTCCGAGAACGAGTGGAAGAAGGTACGACTGCGGGACGGAACCGCCAACTCCGTTTGAACGCTTTTGCTAACCAAAACAGCAGCACGTAGAGTCTCACCGACAAAGTGTAGCATGTAAATGAGCTCCCTGCGTGTCCTTATACGTTTCACGGAACTCTGCCACTTATGGCTTTTGTTTTTTGTTTTTTTTACATCAGGGCATCGTGGCGTCTTTCAACAAGCAAGCGGGAATGACCGTGGAGGAAGCAAAAGTGGCGTTCCTGAAAACGGTTTGTCGCTGGCCAACCTTTGGCTGCGCCTTCTTTGAAGTGAAGGTGATTCCCTCCCCTTTTACCGCTCCTCCGTTCGTGTCTTCTCGCTCCACATCGTGACAACCATGAAAACGTGTTCTCATTATCTACCTTTTCAGCAAACATCCGAGCCAAATTTTCCGGATATTGTGCGGATCGCTATCAGCAAGCAAGGACTCACCATCATACATCCCAAAACCAAAGTCAGGCAGACGCTTGCATGTGTGCGATGAGGAGCGTCATCCATCCGTGTTGTTAAGACATCTTTTCTCTCATGTAGGAAGTGTTGGCCAACCACCCTTTTAACCGCATCGCCAACTGGTGCAGCGGGAGCACGTATTTCCATATGACCATCGGCAGTTTGGTGCAGGGCAGCAAATTCCTCTGTGAAACGTCGCTGGTGAGCCCCTTTTTTTTTTTTTTTTTTTTTGGTATACCAGCCAACCTTCCGCCTTCCAAATAACGACTTTTTCCTAGTCTGCCATTTTGGTTTGAAGAGGCAAACTTCCCTTTGAGAGGTTTTCCAGTTACTACCAAATTTAATCCTGGCGGCAAAGTTTCATGACTCGTCACACAACGCAAAACTTATCACAGCACCTTTTTGAAAATTCAGCACCCAAAGCCCTGAGGTCCTTCAAACCGAAAAACATTTTTACCTGAAGCTCACTATAATTCAGGTCACTCACATAACGCTACCATTGAGATCACAGGTGTCAAAATCAAGGCCCGGGGGCTGGATCTCGGCCCGCCACATCATTTTATGTGGCCCGCGAAAGCAGCTCAAACATGTCAACTTCCATGATCCTTTCTAAAATGTCTCCCAAAATGTATCTCCAAATTTTGTCCAATTGAACTGAAACTGAAATGAAAAAATTGCCCAAGAATTTGTTTTTCATGGCGACAAAATGCGATGACTTCACCTGATAACGAGAAATGCAAATGACTCCACAATTTATAACATTCAACTCCTGACGCCAGTTTCACTGAGCAACATGAAACTTGGGACATCAAAACTGAAAAAGTTGGCAAGTAACGATCATGGGGTGTACGTGTCCATTTCATCTGCTTGAACCACTGTGTTGTCTCTGTCAAAATCAGGGCTACAAGATGGACGACCTCATCACCTCTTACGTCAACATGTACGCGCAAGAGAGGAGGCCGGTGCAGAGCAGGAACCAGCGCTTCAAATGATGCCTGCACCCCCAGCGTGACTACAAAGCACCTGCTATAAAGAACTCCATTGGACTCCATAGGAATTGCCGGAATATGCATTTTAAAATATTTATTCAAGTTCCTTTGCTCACCATATTTGCATTCATGACATTGCTTGATCTGATTGGATGCTTCACAAATAAAAGCTCACGTTATCCACGCAGATGAAATGTTTTCCGCCAAATTTCTCATCGACCTGCCTCACGAGCAGCAAAAAAAAAAAAAAAAAAAAAAAAAAAGCAAGCTCAAGTTACGGACAACATGTTTTACTGTGTACGCCATATGACTTTCCAATGACGTTAGCTCGCCGTCGACCAAAACTGATTACAATCTGACAACCGCTCACACTCACATAATCGCCGAATGAGATCTGAAGCCACAAACGGTCAAATAAAATTGGGCCAAAAAAAAAAAAAAAAACAGAAAATACAGTACAGAAACCATCCCATACTACAGAAAAACAAAAACGTACAACCCAGCAAGAAATATGCTAAAAGATATCAACAATCGAATCAAATTTAAACCAAAATCCACCAAATCAGCTTAAAAATGAAGAAAAAAAAATCACCAAAAAAAGTTGCGAAAAGTTTTTTCACCTGTCGACCCCAATGTATGATTGTTCACTTTAAATTAACAGAGCAGCAAGAAAGACCACCCCCCGCCCCCAAAGAAAAGTCTTATCAATACATGCAATTTTCACAAGGCGGTGATTTTTCTTTTTTTTTTTTTTTTTTTTTTTTTCAGGCGGGAAAAG